TTTGTCAAAACGCACGTTTTGATTAATGAAGGGCAATGAGGACATTTCTCACATGTTCAAAACCGTGAGTCCAAGTCCAAGTGAGGTGGTTAGGTAAATCTCAATCCTTTTCCACCTAAAATGGAGGGGAGTTTCAACTCACCTATGGTGCTATAAAAGGAAGCTATCCATCCCTCAGCAAATCATCCCTTCCAAGCTTCATTTCATCTTTTTTTTTAGATGCTCTCTAGTTGTAGAACACGTTTTTAAGGTTTATGTTCATGTTCTAGTTGTTCATTTCTTCGTTTTTCATGCTTTTATCTTTCGTAGTGCTTTTAATTCGAGTTCTTACTTCCGTTCTTTGTTCATTTTGTTCTGTTCCATAATGCAAATGAGTTGGTAGATATTATCTAGGATTGTAATCACACATAGGAATATGATTGTAGATTACCCTAGCCTCTGCAACAACCAAAAACGGTAGTGAAAGAGTAGAACTCAAATCCCAAGAAAAGTCAGGAATTGCGCCTGGTGCATTTTCCCAACATAGTGTGTTTTCCAGGTTTTACATCAAACCTAAGGTAGGAGACAAGGAGGTTGAGTTTCATTAAATTTCTTGTTAGTTAAAACCCCAAACGACAACATTTCATCACATTTTCTTCCTAAATCACAATTGCATATTGAACAATTTCACTGCAGTTGATTTTGAAAAGCAACAAGTTCTTGAGGATTCGACCTTGGATTACTTCCGAGTATTACTTGTGACTATGTGCGCTTGCACAAGTCTCTAATCTTTTTAAAGGTAGAGAAAGTTCCAACAAGTTTTTGGTGCCGTTGTCGGGGACTTAAGTTTTCAAATCATATTCTTATCAAGTGAATTGTTTCATTGTGTGATTGTTGCATACCTCTATCATTGGTCTTAATTGTTATATCTAACATTTAAAGGAGTTTTGTATGAGCACAGGGTCTGGTTGGTTGACCTTTGATCAAGAGATTAAAAGAACTCTTAAAAAAGGATAAGGCGTGAGCAGAGGTTGAGAAAATGATAAGCGCCAAGGTTGCTCGGGTTTACAAAGCTAGAGGTCCTTCTAGGATCCTTGCAAACATTCACAAAAACGACTAACTTACCGAATGATTCCAACCAAGAGTAAGGTTAGAAGATGAATCACTCTTAGATCGGACTTAGAATCTACGATGGTCACTCCTAGATCCTAAGACGACTCACTCCAGAATTAGCTTGATCGAGACTAATCCAATGAATCGGTTTAACATCARACCTAAAGCAAGATTTGAAAGAAGCAACACCAAAAGTGTTAAGGAACAAAAGTTCTTGAATTTCAATATGTTTTAATCTTAAGTTATCCATAACAAGAGCATTACAAGCCTTTAAATAGGCCAAATGGTCGTTCAACATAAGAACACCAAAAGTTTTTCAAAATACTACTTAATGCAAATTGTAGAAAATAAGACATGCAAATTAAAACTKGATTGCACATCATTCTAGACACTTAAATGCGGATCAGAAAACGTAGTCATGCTTCAAATGGTCTTATCTATGTGCTG